CCCCCTCTTTTTCTTACGCCGCGCCCGCAAGGGGCCCGTCCTCCTCCAGTGTGTGTGTGTGTGTGGATCCGGGGCACACGCTTTCAGGATCCTTCAAGGAAGGCGAGAAGCACCCCACATTACCGCGACAGCTTCTGCGAGGGTCAGTACCTCACACAAACGGTCCAGTAGCTTTTGCTCGATGTAGTCACACGCCGGTGCGATACGAATAACATCACCACCGCAGTCGCGAAGTTCCAGCTCAATTTTCACAAGTTTATGAAATGGATTCCCCGGACCCCACACCTTCTCATCTGCCCGGGCAAAGTAGTCTTTGGCAACCGAGGCGTCAATCGCCTGCAGGGCGCTCTCAACTGCCGCAGTGTGCTCATTGAACTCAGCCTCAGTGAAGATGTAACGCGGAATCGGCCCGACAAACCGCATGCGCTGCTTGACCGTCTCCCAGTAGTCCACTTGCTCCTGCGCGGGGCGGCCACGCGTCATCCAGGCACACATCGCCTTCACCTCGTTCTCGCTAGGGCAGCTCATGACGGGGTGATGGAAGTCAGCTCCAGACACCCATCTTCTGAAGTTATTGCCGTTCGGGGACGCCACCACAACCATCCCATACCCACAACAATCCAAATGTGACGGCGGCGGCCCCCTTTCCTCCGCCGCGTCGTAGATAGCAAACCCTCTCTCTTCAAGGTCCCCGTTCAAATGCCTCACAGCTTCTTTGACCTCCTCCGCACCCTCGTATTTCTCCACCGTTTTATCTTCCTTGTCAAACACGTACGCCAACTCGCTACCAAGGAAGTAGACAACATAACGAATTGGGTAGCCAGCGTAGTGCAGCAGTTTGTATAGGATGAAGGCGCCGGCATTCACCCACCGCCCGACCCCGTACGTCCCAAGCAGGAAGTGTGGTCGCACGTGAGGCGGCCCGCAATCTTCAGGGGGGAACATCTCGTACATGTCGTTATCGACGATCTCCCACACCCGCTCCATCTCGGAGTTAACGTAGCAGTCGGTGGTGACTGTTTCCTCCCGCAGCGAGTGCGGCCAGCCCTGCTCGGAGGTGAGTACCATCAGCGTGGGGCGCGGCGGGCGGAACTGGCCTACCTCGTCATTATCCAATTCAAAATTTCGGGAAGCACGGAACTCCCACGACCTTTTTGGCGCTTGTCCCTCACGCACCTCCATTCGCACCGCCGCTTCTTCCCCCGCGCCCTCGGGATACCCCAAGACATGGCTCCACTTCGCGTTGAACACCGAGTCGTAGAAACCCTCAGGTATCGGTCGTCTGTAACTTTCCTCCTTCCGCTTTGCCCTTTCGTTTTTTTCCCGCCCTGCCGCTTCTGCCTTCGCCACCTCAAGGGCTGCTCTAAGTTTTTTCGACGCCATCCTAGATTCGATATAGAAGCACGAGGAAGCATCCCTCAGATCACGGAGCGTGACCACCTCTTTCCCCACAAGCCTGCGCAGCTCTTCACGGAGAGCGTACGGCCGGTACGCTGGCAACCCAACAATGCTCTCGAGGAGCTCCGTGTCCGTGACGTACTCGTCTGGCCTCCGCGCAAACACCCCCATCGGAACATTGTCGTATTCATCCACGGCGTTGTTGGGGCCAACGTACTCCCGAAGGAAGTCGTTCAGCAGCATCTCTCTGGCTGGGGCTTCTCCCTCCATCAGTACCTCCTCCACGCGACTCTCAAGGGTCCACTTTGGCCGCTGCTGCGGTGGCGCTTCCTCCTCCCTTCGGGGCTGCGCTGCGGGCGGGTTCGCGTTGCCGTCAGGCCCCGCCCTCGCCCGCCGCCGTCCCTGCAGCACTTTAGTGGTGGGACGCCCCCTCTTCTTAGCAGCATGCGCCCTCGCTCTCTTTTCAGGCATTTTTTCCTTAATTTTTTTTTACCATCGTTAGTTGTTGTTGCCTTGCACTGCGGCTGAACACCAACCACCA